TAGGTTTCCCTGATAGCTCAGTTGGTAAAGAATCCACCTGCAATGCAGGAGACCCCAGATCAATTCCTGGGTCAGGAAGAACCGCTGGAGAAGGGATAGGCTACCCACTCCAGTATTCTTGGGCTTCCCTTGTGGCTCAGCTGGTGAAGAATCTGCCTGCAAAGTGGAAGACCTGGCTTCAATCCAATCCCCGTGCAGGGCTCTTCTGGGGTTAGGACAGGCAGAGACAGAGGAGGCAGAGAAAACAGGGATGAAACCCAGTCACATGTGAGAGTCCTAGAATTGTCCAAGTCCAAACGGTAGCAGGCCCAGGGTTCTAGGGGACTTCAAGAGAATGGGCCAAAGCCAATGGGCCAAAGTCCTGGGTCCTGAGGTGGGGTTGTCCTGAGTTAGAGCAGCGTCCAAGCTTGTCCCTGAGTCCCTCTGCCCAGCCAGGAAACAACCATCCTAAAGGAAGGGTCCTGAATTTCCCAGCTTAAGATTCCACCCTGTAAGACCCCAGAAACAGTCATGCCCCAGATCTGTTTCCTCATCTACAAAAATGGAGCAAGAGCCACTCTTTATCCTCTCCCCCAGGACAGTAGATCATATTATAGGAGATGACAAGTGGCAAAGACCTTCAGACCCACCCAGTCAGCATCCCGACTACAGAGTCATTTCTCTGCAGCCATTGATGTCCTGGGCATCAACTGAGTCCAGGCTCCCTGAGCAGGACTGCAGGGGTGAAGACTGTCGGGTCCTGCCCTTGCTCTTCAAAGCCCACAGTTTTCAAGCAGTGCAAGGACGACATAGGAGCCCAGCAGAGAAATAGGAGGGAAGAAGAGTGACCAGTTGCCCAGAGCATTCAGAGCCAAGACCCAGGAGCCACTGGGAACGATGGTGAGGCCATAGCCACGCTCAGAAACAGCCCTCAGGCCCCACTGACCTGCTTCCTGAGGATGACTCTGGACCATGTGATCCCTCCATCTGATGGGACAGGAGCAAAGAGACACACTTCTAAAATGAATTCAAAGAAAATTCCAATCTGTTTCCACTCTGAAGACCATTTTTTAAGAGGATGTCCATGTGGTATGATTCTCGTCAAATTGCTGACATCAGCATTATCACTGAGCCACAGTATTTATCAAGTGGTCACTACATGGCAGGAGGACACCATTTCATTTAACTAGCACTAGAAGGCAGGCATCAGTAATACCCTCATTTTACAAAGAAAGAAGACAAGGTTCAGAAAGGTGAAGTGAGTCACATAGCCAAGAAGTGGCCAAGCCTTGACTCCAGAGTCTGTGACAAGACACCTGGACCACCTAGGCCTGTCCTTCCCCTCACTGTGGCCACCAGGAGCAGAAGGGCAAGGGACCCTCCACAGGTGAGTGGGCAAGACAGACGGCATGTTAGCAAGAGCTGAGCTCCAAGCACAAGCCTTAAAACTAAAGAGATTTAACTCATGTCCACCACCGACTATCCTTCCATTGCCTCCTCTCTAATGTGGAGATGCTCTGATCCCAAGCTCTTGTGGGACTGCTGTGAGGTTTAGAGCAGCTTGCCGGCCTGGCCTGCATCACGGCAGAGTAAATGTGGGGTTTTACCACTACTCAAAAATTTCTCTCCAGGCTTCCCTGGTGGCTCAATGATAAAGAACCTGCCTGCCAGTGCAGAAGACACGGGTTCGATCCCTGATCCAGGAGGATCCCACATGCCGCAGATAACCATGTGCCACAACCACTGAGCCTGTGCTCTAGAGCCTGGGAGCTACAACCACTGAGCTTGAGCCCACACGCCACAACTACTGAAGCCTACACTCCCTCGTACCCATGTTCTGCAACAAGAGAAGCCACTGCAATGAGAAGCCTGCACACTACAACTAGAGAAAAGTCCACACAGCAACAAAGACCCAGCACAGCCAAAGACAAATAAAATTTTTAAAAGGAAAACTCCTCTCCAACCACCCTGCCTCGTACCCAAGCAGTGGTGGGTGCTCAGCGAGGCAGGGGTCTGTTCTCGCAGCACCTCCACGAGGCAGACTCAGTCCATCTGTACTCCATCAGACCAATGAGCCACCTGCATCTTTCCCTCAGTCCCCACCGTGCAGCTGCGTGCCCCCAAGCATGCCATGGAATTCACCAAACACCACAGACCTCATTCAACAAAGCTGCAAACACACATTTGTCATAACTCCCTGGATCTAATTCTCCCAATAACCAGAAAATGGAAGGAGCAAGGCGAACTGTCAGCATCTCTCCATGATCCAAGGTGTCTTGAGTTGTGGGGCAGCTTTGCCCCCCAACAGCTGAGACTTCAGGGAAGCCACTGCCCTCTCCATCCGTGGCTCCCCTTCTAGAACATGGGTGGCTGGACTGGGCCAGCACACGAGAGACCAAGGGCTTCAAGCCTGCCCTGCTCAGAGAAAGGCAGAGCTGTCCAACCTAAATGCAATGCAGGCCACCAATATAAGCCACATATGTAATTGTACAGTTCCTACCAGCCACATTAAAAAAAAAAGATATATGTGAAATTAAGTTTAATAAGATATCTGATTAACCCAAGATACAGAGAATACCATTTCAACATATAATCAATAGTTTTAAATTATTAATGAGATATTTTAGAGCCTTTGTTCACACCAAGTATTGGGAAGTCTGGGTGTGGACTCACTATACATCCCAACCTGGACCAGTCACATCTCAAGGGCTCAGCGGCCGTCATGTGGCCAGTTGCCCCGACCTGGATCGTGCTAGTCAGACAGAAGCAGGCAGCAGGCATCATTCTTCCTACACCTAATTTCCTAAAACTGGGAATGCCGTGCTCTTTATTAAAAATAATTATAATTATTGAGCATAAAGATAACCATTATGGTCATTTATTGAGTCCTTCCCATGACTAGGGACGTGCTTCACAGTGATCACAGGGGGCAAGATGTTACGAAGGAGAAACCTGAAGCACAGAGAGTGCAAGTTATCTGCCCAAGATCACACAGCTACTACGTGGTGGAAATGGGACTAGAATGCCCCAGTCTGACCCCAGAGCCCTTGGTCCTCATCACTGCCTTCTGAGCCCCACCCTCTCTGCCCAGTCCCTTGGCTGCATCTCAAACTGTCTAGGAGGGCAGAGAGGAACAGCTTTAACCTGCTGCCTCCCTCCTCCCTGTGGCTCTCCAGACTTCCACAGTGTAATCTGGGACCCAGGCTCCACTCCAGCCCACTTACCCACCACCGCCTGCGAGAGCTGGCAGGCTCAGCCTGGGGAGGAGCTGCTTCATTGACAGGCTGGTAAAGGGGCTAATTAAACACCCAGCCCACGCCCCCAGCCCCCACGATCAGGGAACCCAGCCACCTCATCGCCCTGCTGCCAGCCAACAGGCTCAGAGGAATGCCACACAGAATTCGGCAGCGGGCAGAGTAGGGCAAAAATCCCTCTTTATAGAGTTATTTTTGCTGTGGAATTTTCACTGGCCTGTAAAATATTTTTATATTTATTACACATTTAACGGGAACTCCTAGAATCAACAGGGTGTAAATAATGAAAACTAGGGCAGTAAAGGCCCCAATAAACCTCGCACCAACCCTTTGATGCTCCCTAGGAGCTCCAGTCCCTCCTTCCTCCCCGGACCCCATCCTCTGGCCCTGGAGCCAGCCCAGAAGGCCAGAGACCCTCAGCAAGTCCATCGCTGGCTCCCAGAAGCTAGGTTCACCTGTCCGAAGCCAGGCTGTGCCATTGGTACAGCCCACCAAACATGCTGAGCAAGAAAGGGTCTACGACACACTCATGCTGATGCCAGCGCTCATGAGGGCTCAGCCAGAAGATCTGCTGGGGCTACCCCCTCCCCAGTCCCCGTGGGCTCTGATGGCTCTCCCAGTCCTGGGTCCCAGTGCCAGCCCCGACAGTACAGACTCACACTGAACCATCATGCTCTCAAGACCACAGCATCGAGATCTCACTGGGGAAGCACAGGTCTTAGGAGAAAGTGCTCTGCCAACAAACACTGACCCCCAGGGCTCTGCAGCACCCTGGAGAGTGTGCCCACGAAAGCACCCAGTGCCCCCCATTGGCACCCCACTCCCCATGTCCCCCGATACCACCCACGGGATAAATCAAGGGATAGCAGGACCTTGCTTCCACCCCAGGCAGGAGCGCAGAGGCACAGAGAAGGGAAGAAACCAACCCAGAGGGAGGGGACCAGTTAGCGGCAGAGCCAAGGCTAGCCTCAGGGTTAGAGACCCTGTAGTCAGCAAACGAGACGCAGCCTGAAGCCCTGTCCAGGCAGGAGTCGTTCTTTCCAACATCTCCAACAGCCACCCTACCTCTACCTACTAGGGACCCCGAAGACCAGGGACTCCATCCCTGACAGCCCAACTCTCCATCCTGGGTCACCACAACGCATGTTGAGCCCAAACCTTCCTCTCCAGAGCCGAGCCCTGCCCCCTGCTGCCTCCTCCTCACATGTGCCCTTCACACACCTGAAAACAGGCGAGTGTCCCTTCTCCTTCCATTCCCAGGTCCCAGAGCCCCGCCCCCCCACATAGAACGAGATGGACCAGGTTGTCCACGCCTCTTACAATGAGGTACCACCCCCAGGAGCACCTTCTGTCCCCTCAACCACTCAGGATGCTAAACACCTATTCATGGGTTTAGCGTTTAGAGGGTTCCGGGATGCTGACTAAGCAACCACAGCATATAACATGAGTGGACCCCAGCTTTGTGGCCAGAATTCCTGCTGCTGGGTCTAGTCTCTCCCACCGGCAGACAGAACTCAGGAACTGATCTCCCAAACCTAAACACAGCACTTTGTACTGATTCCGGGTAACGTCCTGCCCTGCTCCCTAGATGTGGCCCCGGGGGGCTCACCCAGCCTCCTCCACCACCCATGTGGTCAAGAGCGGCCCCTTCCCAGCCCAGTAGCGCTGTCTGCCTGCCACAAGACCACACATGCTACCCATCCCCATCAGACACTCCCAGCCACACTCGACCCAATAATATCCAAGCATCTCCCCACCCCCCAACAGGAGAGTGCCTTGGGGGCCCACGAAGGAGAAATCCCAACGGGCTCGCAGTCAGACAAGCAGAGGGTGAAGGGCGCGAACCCGGCGGCTCTTCAGACACGAGTCAGGCCGAGCGGCTCCTCTCCGGGGACAGATTGGGCGGCGCTCCTGTCTGCAGCTGCTGCACCACCAGGAGCTTCTCGTCTCTCAACCCCGATAATTATAGTCCCCGGTGCTCGGTTAACACCCGTGTCATTGCAGGGTGTTGGAACAAGCAGACTGTGAGCGAGGAAAATTAAACAAGAGCGTTTGACAAGTGGCCCATCCCCGGTGGCTGAGCCGGGCCGAGGGGGGATGTGCCCGGGGCCACCTGGGAGGAGCCCTCACTCAGGGCGGGAGGCAGGAGTCTGCAGGGAGCAGGACAATGTCCTGTCTGGGGGAAGCCAGGAGTGGGAGAAGGGGCCCACCAGGGTCCTGAAGAGGGGGAGGTGGGGCAGGCCATGGATGTCTGCCCGCCAAGCCTCCGTCACCCTGTGCTGCCGCTGGAGGCAGAGGTGGGGCAGCGAGGCACCCTCTGGGAGAGGCCTGAGCAGGTGCAGAAACCCAGCGCCCGGCTTCCTCACTCCCACGGTGAGCCTACAGCAATGCCCCCCACCCCTCTCCTGCAGAAGAAAGCCGCAGAGATAACGGGGGTCATGAAAGACTGCCCAGGGCCTTCTCCAGCCCCTCTGTCTCAGCCCGACTCAGCTCTCCCAGACTCCAGGCAGCTGCGACTCGGGACGTTGGCACAGAGCCCCACATGCAGGGGCTGCTGAGTGGACTTCATCCAGGCCACCTGGTCCCCAGCAGGCTTCAGCCCCCAGCACTCCACCTCCAACCCCTGCCCCACAGAAGCTCACAGGCCGCCAACAAACAGTAAAGGGTGGACTTCCCTGGTGGTTCAGTGGCTAAGACTCCGCTCTTCCGATCTCCCAATGCAGAGGGCCCAGGTTCAATCCCTGGTCACAGAACTAGATTCCACATGCTACAGCTAAGACCCAGCACAGTCAAATAAATAAATATTAGAAAGGAAAAAAAAACAGTAAAGGGAGCCAGCACACTGGGGCAACAAGCCACTGAGGACCAGAGAGGCGGCCAACTGAGTTAGAGCACCAGCAACGCTCCCCACTGATCTGTTGCTGGTCCCCGTGCAAGCACTCTGCAGCCCCTCACCTTGCCCCCACCTAACAGTTTCTGTAACTGGCCCATTTCACAAGTGAGGAGACTGAGGAGGCCCTCAGAGGCTAAGTGATTTGTCTGAAGTGGCAGATTCAGGATTAAACCCAAGTCCAATCATCTCCAAATTCCAGAGGACATCTGAGGACAGTCTGGGCTCTTTACAAAGGGCAGTTCAGGGAGATCCCCGCCCCCAGACAAGTCTCCCCAAGCCCCCAGGCCCCAGTGCAGGCCCCAGCTGCTTGCTCACCCTCCTCCAGGCCAAGACGTGTTGGGGTAGGGATGGCTCCCCCCAGACCCCGCCCAAAGAGAGGCACTGAACAGACTTTGGCTCTCCAGCCCTGGCCATGAGAGAACACACATGTTTCCTGTGTTCCCGCTCTCCTCAGGCTCTCCCAACATGCTGGAGATATTATTATTATTTATTATTTGCTGAGTGCTGACAGCGTGCTGAGCATCAGGCCTGGGAGCCCAGGCCCTGCCAACACGGCTTACACTCGGACAGCCTGCACGACACAGCTCCTTGGCCACCACAATACACGCCCAGCTGCCGGGGCCGGCTGCCGGGGACCCGGCCTCTGAGACGCTCCTCTCCTGTCCTCAGCCCCAGTAGCCCACGCCCCTGGACCTCTCACACAACCCCGGGCAGACGACATCTTTAATGGGGGCAGCTGGTCAGTCCAGGAGCTGGGCCTCCACCCCCATGAGGCCGGGGAAGGATTTGCTCCGTGTTGGGTGGGGGCAGACCCAGCAGAAACCCCAGCCAGCAGGGTCTGCTCTGCTCAGCCCACACTCACATCTCCTGGTGGCAATAGCAAATCCTAAAATCTCAAGACGGCCACAGAACCAGCCCCTTCTCTCCTAAGCACCCAGCTTGCTCTCACCATCTCCCCCAGAAGAGAGAACTAGAGGCTAGAATGAGTCCCTGGGGACACACAGAACCCAAGGGCCCTGTCCTAGAAGCAGGACAGGGACCAGGGGGAGGTGAGTGAGGCCCAGACTTTACAGGGCACAAAATGTAAGGGGACCCCCCAAAACTCAGCAATCAAGATTAAATATTTCTATGCAAATTTTTTTAAATCAAAATTAAGGCCAAGGAAAACAATTAATGCCAAAATTCATGATGAACAAAATGCCAAGATTTTAAATAAAGACAAGATCAGTATTACTGATCCTTCTCTTTGCCTTAGGCTCCAATATGGGTCCACATGGTACCCCTAAGAAGGCTACTTAGACCGGAGTTGGGGGATGGGGAGGAGGTCGGTCCTCCAGCCCATACTGTGCACCGGAGGAGTCTGTCACTGCATAGCAATGTCACCCAGCGTAAGGACTCACAGGGAATGTCACTGTCTGCACCGGAGGAGTCTGTCACTGCATAGCAATGTCACCCAGCGTAAGGACTCACAGGGAATGTCACTGTCAACCCTTGAGGGCCTTCCTGGAGAAACGTGTTGGATATTACCCAGCGTCAGTGGAGCCTGCCAGCTTCTGGGCTAGGACAGGGAGAAGACACCCTTGGAGCACCTGTGTTTCTCCCCACTCATGCGGGTTCCCAGTCTAGGGGCTCAGAAGCCACTGTCCCTGGCTGGGGACAAGCTTGGCTGTCTCTCAATGCCTGTATCTTTTCAGCTCCCCCACCAAAGTGCTCAGCCCTGAGCTCAGAGGTGCTGCAGAGAGAGCCAGAGGAGAAACCCAACCTCGGGGAGTGGGACAAGCCTCACAGTCAGGATGTGCCCTTTCAGGGGCCGTGTCCAAGTTGCCCAAAGCCCCTCATCTCTACTGTGTTACTAGGGCCACAGGCACCCAGGTCTCCTGGGAAACCTTCCAGCCCCGTCTCTCCCGCTGCCCCCACCATGCACCTTCATGCAGCTGGAAGAACCACGCGTGAACCAGCCACGGCCCTGCCCTGGGCAGCTGCGGGGACCCACCCACCTTCCCCAACCATCATTCTAGACACCACGGCCCCATTCCAGGCCCTTCTTTCCCCCCAGCTGAATCATTCCTTTATTCATTTCTTTCGCAAGGGTCACGTTCACAGGCTCAGGACCACGGCCTAGGCTGGCCTCAGAGATGGAGCAGTCCTGCTCCAACTTCAGAAGCTCACAGTCAGATGGGGGAGGCAAAGACCAGCACACACCTTGAGGGCATGGCAAGAGGGCACGGGAGCCACCTAACCTGGCCAGAAGAAGAGGGGGGCAGGCAAGGGGGGACGGGGGCCCTTCCAGAGGGCTAAACAGGGACAAGCCAGTTTTCACCAGTTTGCCATGAGGGTGGCATGGAAGGGAAAGGGTGTTCCAGGCAGAGAAAACACATATAAAGTCCAGTAGTTGCTAAGAAGGAGCCTGGCACCTTTAGGAAACTGCAGGTACCAGGGCAGGAGAGACATGTAAGGCATAGCAAGGCAGCTGCCTGAGAAGAGCATTCTCCAAACCATTCCTAGTTAGCAGTTTCCTTTGGGTTACAAGTCTTGAGGGAAGCTCCAGCTTGGAAGCCAAAGGGAAATCCACACTCCTCTGTTCCTGACTGTGGAGATCCCCAGGCCTCTGTGGTGGGCACAGTGATGACCTCCCCCCACTGCCACCTGCCCCACAGATGTCCATATCCTAATCCCCAGATCCTTCCATCATGTAAATTACATGGCAGAGAGGGGCTTCTGCAAATGTGATTAAGTTCAATGGTCTTGAAATGGGGAATTATCCTGGATTGCCTGGTGGGGCCCAGTCTCATCATACCAGTCCTTTGAAGGGGGAGCATCTCCCAGCTGCGGTGAGAGAGAGAAGTGATGATGAAAGGACCACCAGAGAAAGGCAATGGTGCTGGCTCTGAAGATGGAGGAAGGGGCCGTGAGCCAGGAAATGCAAGCAGCCTCTGGAAGCTGGAAAGGCAGGGAAGAGACTCTCTCCAAGAGCCCAGATGGGGCACAGCCCTGTAGACACCCTGATCTTAACCCCGCGAGAGCTTGTCAACCTGACTTACAGAGCTGTGCAATGACAAACTGGTGTTGCTTTAAGCCCGTACCTCTGTTGTAATGTATTACAGCAACAATAGAAACCAATACTGCCCCAGAGCCCTCGGCCACCTTGCCCTTCCACCTCCCCATACGCAACAGAAGGGCCTCCCCATGGGAGGGGGCTCAAACACTTCAGCTCTGGCTGGTGCAGCCTGCCCTCTGAGTAAGCACCAGGGCCTAAGATTAGAGCAGTCCAAGACCACAGGTAGCCCCGGCCTCCCTCCCCTTCCCCAGGGGCCCCTGGCAGGCCCATGCTCCACAGCAGAACCTTCTCCCATCAGCCAGCAGTCTCCTCATATCTGCACAAGGTTGGGCCTGATCCAGTCATCCTTCCATAGGGTCTGGATCACTCAGCCTCTTTCATGGGTGCAGTTTCTCTCGGATCACCTGCCACCTGCATCTTCCTGAAACAGCAATGTCAACATCTCACTATCCTGCTACAAGACTGTCTCTAGCTCCCCAAAGCCTAGAGCAGGGATGTTCATACTGTGTTCCCCAGAACACCAAGGTCCCTGAGGATATGGGTGGGAAGGGAAAAGCTTGCAAGGCAGATGAATGGAGATCAAAAACATCTCAAGCTGTTCTACAGTTGTAACAGCAAGAGTTTATTTCAACAAAGGGGTCTTCAGATAAATAAGTATGAATATTGTGGCATGAAGGAAAAAGTCACAAATCAGTGACAAAAGCGCATCAGGACCTTTGTGTCTATTGGTATGATTGATCGTGGGCATCATATCTGTCTCCCTCTATAGGCTGTGAGCTTCATGACAGTGGGAACCATGTCAGTTTCATTCCTGCCTTGGAACCCTAGACTCAAACATGGTGAGTAACTCTTCTGAACGGATTGTTGAATGAATGACTGACTATGTCCCACCCACCTACACACACAGTAGCCCCAGATCACCTCCCCAGCCTCGCTGCCCACAGCACACCTCTGAGAACCACACAGGAGCCACATCCAGGGCTGGACCTGTCCGAGGTGCTAGCAACACCTACCAGGCATCGGCCATCAAAGCCAGTGGATGGAGTGGGGTGCAGGTCGGAGCACCCTGGTGT